CCCCAAAACCCCAAAACCCCAAAACCCCAAAACCCCGAAAGGGCTAATATATGTCATTGCTAATAATTAAATTTGAAATTTAAAATATTAAAAATGATAGAAGATGAAGCATATATGTCAAAAATGTTTACATAATTGAATAACGAACTCATTCAATTGCAAATTAGCAGGTCTGGAGATTTATCACATCTGATAAAAACCTATCAGAAAAATTTCTAATTACAAATGAAACCATTGACATAAACTTCTCATTAATAGATGACTGATTACATAAGTAAATTAAGCCTCAAAGAAGAGAGCAGATAAATTGATTAAAGGAGAATATTTGGCAATTTGAAAGCCTTTAAAGATATTAATGAGAGTAAATAAAAAATCTTCAAAACAGTCCATAGAAAGATAGCTTAAATCAATATTAAGACTATTGAGGAACAGGAAATAGCTAATCAAATTCAATGGACTAATACTTTGTAGCTAAATTCTTAATCACAACTTTTAATGCTAATGGGTAATGATGAAACTTTTAGTATCTAAAGCAGCAATATCACTAACATTGAATTTAAAAGAATCAAATAGGAATGTCGAGAGTTGAGAAATAAAGTGATTTTGATAATAAATAATATAAATTACATCCTAGAGACTTAATTGTTGATTATGGACGATAAAATTGGATAAAAATCAAAGAAGGATTTTATTTATCAGCTATAAAACTATTACATTTCAGATTAAATCTCGAGAAATTAGGAAATAAAGGCTGCTAGAACTTAATACTAATAAAAATATAATGAAAATAAAGAAAGATCTAAGACTTAATTTAATAAATTAGACGATAGCAATTCATAAATAAATTAGAGTGGATCTCAGAACAAGTAAATTTCAAAGCAATTTAAAGGCTTAGAAACTCTGCAGATGCTCCAGAGAGCCTTAGGTGAAAATAAATAAACCAATCTGAAAGAGATATAACGAGAAGCTAAATCTTAGCTTGCAGGTTAAAGAACAATTTAAGCTTCTTATGTTTTAGCTGAGAGTAGCAATACAGCTTCAAGTTTTTATAAAACAAAGACAAATTAGTCAATTAATTCATCCTAATCAAAGCGGTCTATTAAGAACTCTATTTAAAATGACTTCCATGAAATCTAAGCTGACTATTTAAACTAACTTGAGAGTAACTTCAAAAATCTGTAAAGCATTAAGTCTGCTAAGAAATTCTAGATAATGAGAGCATTAAGACATATTTAAAGATGGTGGAAAATATTTAATGCAGAAAGGAAATTAAAAGCTGTTTAAATGATTGAGAGAAATTACAAGTTAACTTTGAGTGATTTTATGAAGTTAAAACGGTAGATAATAATTGTTATGAAGAGATATAGTGCTAATAAGATCTAAAGATGGTACAGATTGTGGAGGAAAAAGAGAGTGATTCTAAGATAAAAGTAAAATGCTAAGATTTTAGGCAAGTACCTAAATCAATTAGGGACCATTATCAAACTTCAATCATTTATCAGAGGATGCTTGATAAGAAAGGCTTTAAGATTTAAGCGATACTTGAAAAAGCTAAGGGTCTAGCGACAAAATGATAGGAATTAAGAGAAAAAGATCATATACTATCGAACTATAAGAGTTATAAATTCGGCAAGATTGCATAATTGTGTTTAGAAGTAGCTATAGGAAAGAATGTTTTACATTTAGTAATTCGAAAAGTAGTTTTAAAAGTGAAGTATTGCAATATCTAATAAATTTCTTAATTTCCCTTAAGTTAAGAGTATTCATGTCAAATGGGGTTTTGGGGTTTTGGGG